GAGGAACCTGTCATCTGACAGCTTCTGTATGCAGCATAACTGCCGAAAGCCGGCCTTTTCCTTAACATCCGGAAGTCATAGGTAGTAATAAACCCATCCGTATTATCAAATCTGCAAGTGGAACACAGAGGTGAAGTGGTACATGAGGTTGACAAATTTAAGTACCTCAGATTCATCGTCTTCAACTATGGACCCATCGAACAGTCTTTCCTTCCAGTGTTTTTCTCAGCCTTCCCAATGTTTAAGTCTATCAGCAATACACATGGATGCTTAAACGAATTGAGTCAGCGAGGTCAAGATTGTCACGCGGCCTAGATCGTTTTCTCTAGAATACGCAGCAAAATGGAAAACAGGTAAGGTCGAACAGCAACAAGGCAGATCAGTGGCCTGTCTTAAAGTACAACGATACCAGATGTACTGATGGACATCAACGTGATGCAAGATGTTCGATGTGGATAAGCCGTTGGCGCAGCAGAATTCGAGAGTTCGGTGCCATTCGGGATTATATGGCGTTCACGGTTCTCACGATCGAGCATTGAGGGATCTCACAGTTCGTGCATGCCTACTGTCAGCGCGCTTTCGATTTGCCACTTTATTATGCATAAAGTAGCCTTCATATGCTCTGCATGTTTTTTTCCGTTTCTAAGCCAATAACCTTTTTTTAAATCCGTTCAGTAAAGCAACAGAAATGTTTCATATTCCATGGTGTCCATTTTAATCTTGGGAAACCTGATTTTTGCTGTTTCCTGATATCTTGTTGGTTCACTTCTTCGTCATAATCGTCTTCTCAAAAGCAGTCTATAATTCGTAATCAACTGCAGTTGGCTTATAACAATGCTGTGGCAGAGAATAACTATACCGAGTTATAAGACAAATTGGTACGTTTACACCGGTTTTTGATGCTTAGAGGGGACATCATGGTTTCATGATACTTGAGGCTATAAGCATATGGATGCAACACCGTACAGCTGAATTTGACCGAAGAAAATACGTGCTCGTTGCAAACTAACATTTTATTAGTTAAACCATAAAAATAATGCAATTTATAATCAGCTGCAATTGGTTGTAACTGATAATTTTTCACTTTATGATAATGATGATTCTAAACAAGAAGAAGATCACGGTCATGACGCCTGTCTCTGCTCATCGCCGTTTTTCCTAATTTCATTTTTTGGATTTTTCTTTGCCACGTGCTGCTGAGTGAGCAGTAGTGCGAATCGGGAAAAACATTGTGAATAAATGATTGCATCCTTTTCCAAATACCGTTCAGTTCTGTCAAGGAGCGCATCCATCAGTTGCGGATTTGCTAATGTTGTCTTTTGGGCGCAGCTCGGACTCACAGAAGATCATTCATTCAGGCTTCAGCACATTGAAATATCATTACTCAGCAACGCTTTGTGATATAGCTTGTTTTTTGATTGCTGTGACGACCGTGCATGCTGTTCGCCGTTTCCATTTTGCTTACTTTTTTAATGCTGAAAACGTTTGACAACAACAACTTCCACTTCTTCAGATTTTCCTACTCCCTCTTTGTCCTCATGCCTCACGTTTTGTCCCTCTGTTTCATGTTTCCACTCATCTATACGTCATACGTCCAGCGATTGAAATCAAATATCAACAACTCATTAAACATTTCCCCAAATTACGAAATCAATCTTTCCAGCCCCACGAACGAGTGTTGTGCAATTAACGGCGACACCGAACGATCGATGCATCAATTATGCCCTCCTCAACGAGCTTTTGTATACAACTGCTCGCAGTTCTGCTTTACATCTAAACAGCTTGAAACCGGGTTCATTTCTGGTTGATATTTTCTCTTGTTTTTTAAACTTAATTGAAAATTTGCTTAACGTTCGCAAAAAATTCGCTGTCATTTCCAATATACCAGATTGTACAATACCGCTGCTCTGATAATGAAAAATATTTAAGCGTGCATGCATGAAAGGCAAAGAAAGAAAAGGTAATGATCGTTGAAATGTCGGACTTCTTCACAATTTCATAATAGGCCATTTCCGACGCCTTTTTCTTCATGAAGTCAATGGTAGAACACTTATCTTCATTTCCATGCCATAAGTCAGCAGTGCATCATTTTCGCAAACGCGGAATAACCGACAGCAATTACGTGACAAGCATACTGAGCAGAATTCTGCTTTCCTCTCACATAGGGGTACTGATTTATATATAGCAGAAGTATGAAAGGTCAGTGACCTGAGCAGTGCTCGAATCCGCAACCTTTCGCTTCTTCGAGTCTGACGCTCTATCAACTGAACAACCCCGGCAAAATGTGATACACAACGAGAGAATGAGGGGGCAGTTGCCATAGTGTTAAAAGAGATGGAGAGAATGCTCCAATGAGCGTAAAATGGGTGTTTAATCAATGAAAAATAGAACCCACTTGTTGAAACAAGACCAAGAGTCAAAGCTTTGTTTGAAGACAACAAACAGCGACCGAAAAAAGCATCAGCGCAAATTCTGGAACAATTTTGTTTCTTATCATCGATACAGATTCAACTTGACTTACAGAACTCGCAAAGGGTCGTCACCACCTAGGATTCTAACGCTTCTTGTCATCATTTAACACTGCTTCCCGTAATGTAATTTTCGATGCGACCGTAACGTCATAAAAAAACTGTAAAGTAGAGCGTGGAAACTGCAACTACATTAGTAAGCTACGGAATCTACAAAAAACGGTTGACAGCTTCTAGCTCAAAGTAGGCAAAGAGCCGAAGTGAAAGAAAGGCAGACCTGCCGAATGGAGGACAATAATATTAATGAAAATGAAAACAGCGAAAGGTCTATAGGGAGCCAGAATAAGTGGAACCAAGGTATAAACTCTAAGAGGGTGCAAAAGCCGTCACATTCCTTCGCAAAGTTCATGTTAATTCATCGCTGTATAAATCAAAGATTAAATCTACTGATAAGTAGGCACTAATCTATTCCTAAGCCGCTATAACCGCTAACCTCAGAAGTGGCAATTTTACTGAACTGACATATCTTTCCAATAAACAAAGTACTGCGGCCTTAAAATCAGTTTTACTCGCTTCCTTTCTTCTAGCTGATAAAATAACTATGATAACTCTGAAACTCATCCGCACATGCCGGAGACAAAACGGTCAACAGCAGCGGTTGCAGCCGACACCACACCATCTCTCAGCTATTTCTTTCGCTACCGTATGCAGCGAGCTCGATGTCAGTGGCAACAACGGGAGAAAATGAGTACGCGCATAAACCTCGACGGAAGCTCACAAGCAGACCGAACAGACGCGGCTGAAAGGCAAGCAGCGGGCGAGACCACGCACAGACGACGACGACGACGGCTCACGTCCATCATCAGTCTGTCGGTTAAACAAAGAAGGAAGGACAGCTGGTGGTACAGCTGTTCAAAAGTCTTGTGCCACTTCAACGGAGGAGCAATATCGCGAACGAGGACTAAAGCTATACCATAATCGACAAACCTGCTAAAAACTTCATAACGCTTATTGGTCCACTATGGTGAACTACTTATGCGACAGATACCGCTAAAC